TTTTTGAGTTTAGTGGGTATGAAGTGGTATCTCATTATGATTTTGATTTGTATTTCCCTGATGGCTAATGATGTTGGGCATTTTTTTTTATATGCTTATTGGATATCTGTATATCATCTTTGGAGAACTGTCTATTCAGATCCTTTGCCCATTTTTAATTGGATTGGTTATTCTTTTATCTTTTTATTTTAAGATAAGAATTCCTCCTATAATCTAGGTACAAGTTCCTTATCAGATAGGTGATTTGCAAATATTTTCTTTAATTCTGTGGATTGCCTTTAAATTTTCTTGATGGTGTCCTTTGAAGTGCAAAAATTTTTAATTTTGATGAAGTCCAATATGTCTATATTTTCTTTTGTTGGTTTAGCTTTTGGCGTTATAGCTAACAAGGCTTTGCCTAACCCAAGGGCATAAATATTTTCTCCTAATAGTTTAATTATAGTTTATTATATTTAGGTCTATGATTCATTTTAAGTTAATTTTTGTGTATAGGGTGATAAAGAGGTACAACTTCATTCTTTTGCATGTAACTCTCCAATTGCCCTAATGTAAGAGATAAGGGATATTGGCCTGTAGTTTTCTTTTCTTGTGATATCTTTGGTTTTGGTATTATGCTATACTGATCTCAGAGAATGAGTTGGGAAATATTCCCTCCTCTTCTGCGTTTTGGAAAAGTTTGTGAGGAATTTGTATTAATAATTCTTTAAATGTTTGGTGGAATTCAGCAGTGAAGCAATCTGGACCTGGACTTTTTTTTTTTGAAACAAAAAAATTTTTTTTTAAATTGTTCTGCTTTAAGTGAAAGTTTACAATGCAAGTTAGTCTCTCATACAAAAATTTATACATACGTTGTTATGTGACCCTAGTTTCTCTCCCTGTGCTGTGACAGCACACTCCTCCTTTCCACCCTGGATTTCCCGTGTCCATTCAGCCAGCTCCTGATGCTCTCTGCCTTCTCATCTCACCTATGGACAGGAGCTGTCCATTTAGTCTTAATGTATCTACTTGAGCTAAGAAGCACACTCCTCATGAGTATCATTTTATGCCCCATAGTCCAGTCTAACCTTTGTCTGAAGAGTTGGCTTCAGGAATGGTTTTAGTTTTGGGCTAACAGAGATTCCGGAGGCCATGTCTTCTGAGGTCCCTCCAGTCTCAAACCATTAAGTCTGGTCTTTTTACTAGAATTTGAGTTCTGCACCCTACTTTTCTCCTGCTCCATCAGGGACTTTCTATTGTGTTCCCTGTCAGAGCAGTCATTGGTGGTAGTTGAGCACTGGATCTGGACTTTTCTTCATGGGAACTTTTTAAATTAGTAATTCAATCCCTTTACTTGTTATAGCTCTTTTGAGATTTTCTGTTCTTGAGGCAATTTTGATATTTTGTGTTTTTCTAGGATTTTTTTTTCATTTTATCTAAATTATTTAAGCTATTGTCATACTGATGTTCATAGTATTCCCTTATATTGATTTTTATTTCTGAAAGATTGGTAGAAATGTCCCCACATTTATTACTGCTTTTAATAATCAGTTTTCTTTTATTTCCTTGATTAGTTAAAAGTTTGTCAATTCGGTTGTTCTTTTCAAAGAACCAATTTTGGTTTCTTTGATTTTTTTTTTCCCCTAATCTATCTCATTTATTTCCTCTCTAGTTTTTATCATTTCCTTCTTTTACCTGCTTTAGCTTTAGTTTACTCTTCTTTTTATTAGTGTCTTAAAGTAGCTTGAAGGGAGCCCTGGTGGCAGTTTAAACCCACCAGGCACTCCATGGGAGAAAGATGTGGCAGTCTGCTTCTGTAAAGATTACAGCCTTGGAAACCCTACAGGGCAGTTCTACTCTGTCTTATCGGGTTGCTCATAGTCAGACTCAACTCAGTGGCAATAGGTTTGGTTTTGAAGGTGGCATACTTAATGTTGTCCTACATTTCTTTGAGACTCTGTTCATTTATTTTCATTCTTTTTTCTTTCTCTTATTTGGATTGCATACTTTGTATTCATCTACATTAAGTGTGCTGATTCTTTATTCTGCCAATTCAAACCTATTGTTGAGCCTTTCTAGTGAATTTTTTAAATTTCAGTTGTACTTTTCAACTCTAGAATTTGTATTTAGTTTTCTTCTTTTTTTATAATTTTCATTTCTTTATTGATATTCTCTCTTTGATGAGACATTGTCATTTACCTTTCTTTACTTCTTAAGCTTGGTTTTCTTTAGTTCTTTGAATATTTTCTTTAGTTCTTTGAACACATGTTAAGTTTGACATTGAACTCTCTCACAGGCAGTTTCGGTTGACTCCTATTTTTTTTTTCCTTCTCTGTATGTGTCATACTTTCCTGCTTGTTTGAATATCTCATAATTTTTTGTTGAAAACTGGACATTTTAGATAATATATTTCATCATGACTGGATACTGATTCTCCCCTTCCTGCTCCCTCAGGACTTGTTGTTGTTCGCTTATTTATTTGTTTGTGACTCAGGTGGTCTACTTTAGTGAAGTTTTTTCTCCCTATATTTTGAAACCTCTGATTTTGCTTCTCAGATGGTGCAGCATTGGATATATGTACAGTCACCCTAGGATAACAGTGGTTTTTATAGAACTCCTTTTGACTGTTTCTTTTCCTGATATATCTATTTTGTTGCCTGCGTCTGTTGGTATCATTCCCAGCTGTTAAGCGACATTAATTGCTGGATGATTGCTCAATTTTTTGTTTTTGACTATTCTCTGGAACATAAATTGCTCTGTTTGTAATGGAAGTAGTTTCTGGCTCCTTCGCAGAGTTAGTTCAGGTCCCTTTACAGGGGTAGTTTTGGGGCCAGTCTTTTAGTTTTGTTCTTATTCCACAGGGTTCTTAGATGTGTCTCTTCCCTGATCGTCTCTGGTAAGCTAGGTGGCCTTCAGCTTAGCTTTTTTGCTGGCTTGGAGCTACCAGCTTCTTCTTAATTGCTTATCACCACAATCTTCATTTCTTCAGAGAATGCCTTCGGTCTTGAACTTCCCCACACTCTGTTCCAAATAAAGTGAATTCCCTTGGGGAAAGCTTTGTAGCTCTTTGATCTTATTGCCTATCTCTGCCCCCCTCCCCGGGTAAATTCTCTGTCACTGCTCTGGAATTATAGGTGAGGATGGAGTCCTCTTTCTTTTGGAGTGACACCTCTGCTTTATGAGCATGGTTTTGGGTAGGGGCAAGTAGCCTCTGGTCTTCTTGGCTTACCTCTCTTGGCATGAAACCTTTGTCCTATGAGCAAGCTGGGGTAAAGGCAATTGAGGCCCTAGTATTCTTGGCCTGTCATGACACGGGTAGATCCTCCATCCTACAGATGGGTACTGTGTGGAGTAAGGGAGTCCTCAACCTATTGACCACACTTACCTGGAATTTAGCTTCTGTAACACAGAACTGTGCAGGGTTAGAAATGCTGGCAACCTGTCCCTCCCGGGCAGATACTGTAGCTCCTGACTGAGAACAGGGGGAGAAGGAGCCCGTCACCAGTTATGCCTGTTTCACTGAAGGGAGAGTCTGTGGAGTTCCTCACACTACTATTTTGGAAGTCTTGTGTTCTTTATTAAATATTTATTCACTTCATGACCTGGCATAGAATTCCAAAAGTAACTATAAGTAGTTATCATGGAATTTTTTTTTCCCTTAAAAAGCAGCATGTGTATATGTCTGTGTTTTTCCTATCTTATCTCCTAGTCCCTTACCAGTTTGGATTGCTCCTTCCCCACCCTTCTGCCTACTTGGACATCACTCCCTCCCTGGCACCCCTGGCTGTCTCCTCTTCTTTGCTTTTATGCCTAGGCTCCAAATGTCTATTTGATCCACTGGAAATTGTGACACGGTTTGTAAACTGTCTACTTGGCTCATACACTTAATTTGATTTCCAGCCAATTCCTTGGCTTTTGTAAGCTAGTTTGTGGACTGCCTATCTTGCTCAGATGTTGGTCTCCTCAAGACCACATTTGTTGTATTTGTGAATTAGCTTAATGTGCTATAATGCCCATGTAAGAATTGTATTGAAGAAAGGACAATTTGGAGTTAATATAAGAAGATTTGGTTAACTGCCTACAATAAGAACCATATTGTAACGCAAATTCACCAAGGCAGCTGTCTGATAATGATCTTGAAGATGGCATTACGTTGGGGCTCCATTAAAGATAAAACCAAAAAACCAAATCCGTTGCTGTCAAGTCAATTCCGACTCATAGCGACCCTATAGGACAGAGCAGAACTGCCCCCATAGGGTTTCCAAGGAGTGGCTGATGGATTTGAACTGCCGACCTTTTGATTAGCAGCCACAGCTCTTAACCACTGTGCCACCAGGGCTCCCCCTATTAAAGATAAAAGGAAAAAAATTGTCGACTTGAAGGCGTCTCCTTTTCTAAAGTTTAGATGCATCTATTAGGGAGAAGCTTTCATTAGAACAATTGAAATAAATGGGTATTTTGTCTGAGAAAGTATTGAAGAGAACTGTTTTTCTCAGGAATTAAAGCAAGACATAAATTCATTGTTATTTGGATAGTTTCTGAGTCTCATTTTTGGGGATCTTAGGGGATATGTCTGTTTCTTTAATTTTGTAATGTGTAAATTAAATCTTCTGGAGGCACACTATTAATAAATATTAATTTGCAATGTATTAGGATTCTTTCACAGTAGTCCTTCTCTCCCTCCCTACTCTCTTCAGGGAATACTCAATTGTATCTTAGCATCCTTCTTTAGTATTTGACTTTAATGGCCTGTGATGAAAAGGAATTTGAACCTATAATGAAAAAATAAAGAATTGCTTCCACGTTTTAGTATATGGAACTATAATACTATGAGGTTGAATTTGACCTGAAATAATGATTTGATTTGTGAACCCAACAAACAATTCCTCAAATATTTCCTTGAGGTAGCTTGTTGAAGTTATGAATAAGATCTGCTTTCAAAAGTGAGATACAGTTTGCCTTTAAAATAAACTCTAAGTGAAATAAATGTGTTATTAGTCTCTTCTTTTTTGTTTTTCCTTTAGGCAGCAGGAGCAGTTCGACCTCTTGTATCTACTGTCATCAGTCCATCTGCTGATGGTTGCTTAGACCACTCACTAGAACGTGCCAGATACAAAGCAAGTGAAATGCCACAGGCTTTTCTATTTGATGTGATCTACGAAGCATACCAGCAGGTAAGAGTCTGGGCCTTTTGAGAAAGCTACTGTGCTTCAGGTTCCCCAAGAACACCTCCACATTCGGATATTTGCTAGAAGAACTCATGAGACTCAGCATTTGGATGTGGTTGTACTCATGGCTAAGATTTATTACACTGAAGTAGTGAGGATACACAGCTGCATCATAAGGGAAGAGACATAGATGGAGTTTGGAGAAATCCATTGCAGGCTTCCTTATGCTCTCTCCCCACCATGAAGGATCACATAGAACATACCTCTCCCAGAGCAGTGAAAATGCAGCAACATATGTGCCATATTTCTGCCCAGGGAAGCCCATTAGAGACTCATTCCCTAAGGTTTATTTTGAGGTTGGTCACGTAGGCATTTTTTGCTCAGCATGTAGAAAATTTCTAGATTGCCAGAAGGAAAGCAGGTGTTCAGCATATACTGTATTGTTTACACAGTCTAGGCACAGTGAACCTTCCTTATCAATTACCTGTTGACTGGGAACTTGCCAAGAGCCAGGTTCCCAGACTCCACCCAAGGGCCTACCTTGTGAGCAGGCCTCTCTGAAAATAGTAGTCACAGGACTGCAGTGATCACTTTTATGCACAGTTGCTTAGACAAACATTAATTAAAATTTTAGTTAAAGGTAAGTGACTTTTTAAAATATCTTGAATAATTCCTTCATTGTTAGGTTTTGTTGAATTACCTTTGTTTTGTTTTTCATTTCTTGGGAGCGTATTTTGTACTTATATACACTTTACTGCCACCATTTGCATATTTATTCAGTAAACATTTATTGAATATCAGGTACTCAGCTTGTCAGAAACTTCTCAATGAAATATGGTACGTTAAAATGACTAACCTTAGTGTGTGGCTGATGTTAGACACTCAGTAAATAGTTTGAAATAGGTAGTGTTTTAGGAATATGTGATAATGGTGATATGACTATGGACATTTACATTGGAAGAATTTCTACATGTTTTGTACAGAGGGTAGTTAATCACATAAATACATTAAATTATGAATCAGTAAGGAGCCCTGGTGGTGCAGTGTTTAAGTGCTCACTTGCTAATGGAAAGGTCAGAGGTTCTAACCCACTAGCAGCTCCACTGGAGAAAAGACCTAGTGATTTGCTCTCATAAAGATTACAGCCTAGGAAACCCTATGGGGTGGTTCTATTCTGCCTGTAGAGTCACTATGAGTCAGAATCAACTTGATGGCACACAACAACAATATGAATCAACAGTCTTGACTTGTCTATCAGTTACTTTGTTTTTAAAATAAGACTATGTAGATTGGAAATGCATTTTAATGATAAGAATAGTTCACAATGGTTTGTATTATTTTCTTACAAAAATGAATTTGAATATAGGAGTTTACCTTTAGGATTTGATCATTATTCACATACATGTTATGCTATTATAAATTTCTTTTAGTTTTGTACTTTAATATCATATTTTATAGATTAAATCTTGCTGAGTTAGACCATTATCTGCCATATTTCCTGAGATTAATGTAAGAATTTGTTTACCTTCATATAAACATTTATAATAGGGATAATAAATATATATGATAACTATATTTTAGAAGAAGATTTGAGTATAGTCTCCTGATTCTCACATTACCCATTGCCATAGAGTTGATTCTGACTCATAGTGACCTTGCAGGACAAAGTAGAAATGCCCCATAGGGTTTCCAAAGTTGTAGTCTTTACAGAAGCAGACTGCCATATCTTTCTCCCCTGGAGCGGCTGGTGGGTTCAAACCACCAACCTTTCAGTTAGCAGCCGAGTGCTTAACCACTACACTGCTAGGGCTCCTTGATTCTCACGTTAGAATAGCCTATTTCATCAGTTTTTGCTAGAGAATTAAACCCTAATGCACTAAGACGTTGGTTTTCCTAGTGTGGCCCAGATTAGCAGCATCAGCATGCTTGGGAACTTGTTAAAAAATGCAAATTCTGGGGCCTCAACCCAGATCTATTTAATTAGAAACTCTGGGTTGGGGGCCCAGCAATCTGTGTTTTAACAAACAAGCCCTCCAGCTGACCAGATTCACAGTGAGGTTTGAAAACCACCACCCTAAGGCATTCATCTTAATGTAATGAATTGAATTGAATTCTCTCCTTTGCATTCCTGGGATAATTGAGAAAATAGTCACAAAAAAATAATTGTCAGTGTTCTGTGGTTCAGATAAGGAACACTTACTTATAGCATTATTTTAGAGGTTTTGATATGTCTTTATGCAAATTTTTTTTTAAGTTTTGTTGTTATTGTGAATATACATAGCAAAACATACACTAATTCAACCATTTTTACATGTATGATTCAGTGACATCGATTACATTTTTTGAGTTGTGCAACCATTCTCACCCTCCTTTTCTGTGTTGTTCTTCCCCCATTAACAAAAACTCTCTGTCCCCTAAGGTTCCTATCTAATTTTTCAAGTTGCTTTTGTCACTTTGATCCCATATGTTGTTGTGTTGTTAGGTGCCATCGAGTCAGTTCTGACTCATAGTGACCCTCTATAAAACAGAATGAAACACGGCTAGGTCCTGCGCCACCTTCATAATTGTTGTTATGCTTGAGCCTATTGTTACAACCACTGTGTCAATCCATCTTGTTGAGGGTCTTCCTCTTTTTCTATGACCCTCTACTCTACCAAGCATGATGCCTTTCTCCAGAGACTGGTCCCTCCTGATAACACGTCCAAAGTATGTGAGATGAAGTCTTGCCATCCTTGCTTCTAAAGAGTATTCTGGCTGTACTTCTTCCAAGACAGATTTGTTCATTCTTCTGGAAATCCATGGTATATTGAATTGATCTCATATAGATAGTTCTTAAAAGAGCATAATACTAAAGGCAGACATTTTTTACTAGTTAAACTAAACTACTGTTTGGTTTTAAGAAGACTTCAGGGGATATTTCTGGTTTAAAGTTTAAAGATTATCTCAGGGCAATAGTTACAGGGGTTCACCCAGACCCTTGGCTGCAGAAAGTCTAGATTTCATGATAATTTGACATTCTGTTCTGCATTTCCACCTTTTGATCCGGATTCTTCCATAGAATCTTTGTACAAAAGGTTCAGTAATGGTAGCCGGACACCATCCAGTTCTTCTGGTCTTATGACAAAGGAAACAGTTGTTCATGGAGGCAATTAGCCACACATTCCATATCCTCCTCCTATTCCTGACTCTCCTTCTTCCTCTTTTGCTCCAGGCAAATACAAACCAATTATGGTGCGTTGGACGGCCACTTGCAAGCTTTTAAGACACCAGGCACTACACAATGAACTAGGAGGGAGAAGAGAAGCACTAAACATGATATTAGGCCAGTTAACTGGGATGTCCCATGAAACCATAACCCTAAACCTCCAAACCAAGGAACCAAATCCCATGAGGTTTTTGGTTGTATGTGGGCAGCCTCAGCAGCTACTTTTTTTTTTTTTGGTCATTGTTGTAGTATATCTACTACATAACTTTTGCCAGCTTAACTTTTTATACATGTACAACTTATTGACAGCAATTTGAATAATTGACTGTGCAACGCTACCCTTAATCAATGTGATTTTTCAAACACCATTGATCCTCCCCTTTCCCCCTGCCTCCTGCCCCTGGTAACCACTAATAAAACTTTCTCTACACATTTGCCTTTTCTTGTCTTTTTATATAGGTGAGGTCATATAATATTTGTCCTTCTGTGACTGACTTATTTCACTCAGCATAATGTCTTCAAACTCCATCCCTATGGTAGCATGTATCAAGACTTCATTTCTTCTTTTGAATGAGTAATATTCCATTGTGTGTGTGTACCACATTTTGTTTATCCATTCATCAGTTGATGGACATTTAGGTTGTTTCCACCTTTTGGCTATTGTGAATAGTGCTGCAATGAACATTGGTATACTAGTCTCTGTTTGAGTCTCTGCTCTCAAGTCTTTTGCGTATATACCTAGGAGTGGAATTGTTGGGTCATATGGTAGCTCCACTTATAGTTTTTTTGAGTAACCAACATACTGTTTTCCACAACAGCTGTACCATTTTAAATTCCCACCAGCAATGGATAAGGGTTCCAATTTCCCTACATCCTTGCCAACATTTGTTATTTTCTGTATTTTTTATCTTGACTGTCCTAGCAGGAGTAAAATGGTATCTCATTTTGGTTTTGGTTTGTATCTCTCTGATAGCTAATGATGTTGAGCATCTTTTCATGTGTTCGGTGGCCATTTGAATGTCCCACAATTCTTTGAATATAAAGGCACTTGTAGGAATTCGAACATATAAAAAATTTCTCTCTCTGGTCCATATAATTTGTGTACATACATACATGTGTTTGGTTTTAACAAACTAATAATAAAAAAATGAATGCTAAGCTGTTCTTTGAAGTAAGCTAAGGAAAGAAAAATAGAGTCGTGTTTGAAGGTGAAAACAATAAAATTTGTTTTCTGATTTTGATTGACTGAATTGAACGTATTTTAACCTAAGAAACCTATACTTTCAGAGCATAAACCCACCAGTGATCATTTGTGTACCAGAATTGATTAATCTGAAAATAATTAACATTTTGAACAATATTTCAACTTGGGAAAACTTATCTATTGTCCTTTTTGCCATATAAGGTAACATATTCACAGGTTCCGGGGATGAGGATGTGAACATCTTTGGGGTCATTATGCAGCCTACCTCAGGTGGTGAGGAAGAATTAGCTAAGAGGATAGGAGTGGCCATAGAAATAAGTGGGTAATTTCTCAGAAGCCTAGTGAATAAAGTGTTTCAAGAATGAGCAGCCCTGTTACATGCTACGTATTGGTTAAAAAGTAAGAATTGAGAACTGGGCATAAGTCTTAGCAATGTGAGATCATCATTGTTTCAGGAAGGTGGTGGGTATAAAAACATGACTGGATTGATTTAAGAGCAAATAGAGGGCCACTCTTTGGATGTGTTTTTATGTATATTGAGCAGATAAATGGAGGAGGTCATAAAAAGGAAGTGTAAAGAGTTTTTTTTAAAAAAAA